CAGTTTTCTGCCTTTCAAATAAATAAAAGCAACACAAATATTAAAAAAACAATTTTTTTTATCTCTTTAGAAAACTTCAGAATTTCTATATGAGAATTTCACATAGAAATTAAACTAGCAGTACGTCAAGGCAAGAATAATAAAAAGCACATATTTAGTAGTACTGAAATCCTTTTTGTCATAGTATTATTAGATTTGTGTAATTAATCATGCCATCACCATTGTATGTGTGACTTAGACAATTTATTTGAAATTATTTTAGTTAGAATTCATATTAACTGCCTGCAAATATAACATACAGGCACTAAATGAAATCATTCATTTCAGATCTGAATGTATTAATTTAGCAGCCAAGAAATTCTGACAAACCTCCTGATCTCCTAAGCTCCTGACTAATCAAAAAAAATCTGTGTTTCAGTGATTTTTTGTTGTGGATTCAGCCACTGGGAACTTCCTGTCTCTCTGTTTAATTTCAATGTTAGACTGTTCTGTTACTTAACTGGTACTGTCATTAATTGATTTATAAATAATGTATAGCCCATCTTCTCCCAAGAAAGGATCTGAAGAGTCCAAATCTGACTTGGAAACAACCATAAATGTCCGAGATGTGGATTTCAGTGTTGTCTCTTTAGTGGCTGGAGGTCTCACCTCCTTGCCCAGCACATAGAAGCTCCCCCTTCTCTGCCCCTGCACCTGGCTCAGGCTGGAAAGGAACTGCCGCTGCCCTCTGTTCTCAGAACACAGAACACACCGCTGCTCTGCTTGGAAGCCACACAGCAGAGCCACAGCCTGCAGCCTCCCAGAGCATGCACTGGCAGGAAGTTGGAATCAGGGCAGAATGGAGACCTGAACTGATGCCCGGTGATATGGACGTCCGAGAAATGTCTTAACTGCCACATCAAATGTTTGTTCCTCTAGTCCCATTTTCCATCATGAAAATGGAGAAGGTTACAGGAGTTTTTAGATAAAGGATCTTATAAAAATGCATGGCAGGCAAGCTCTACTTGTTAGACATACACTCTTCACTGAGATGGTGTGTCCTCTGTTTTGCCATCAACACGAAGACGCCCATTAACCATCTCAGTGCTGTGCTATCGTTTGTGCCTCTCCTCCTCCATGATTTTTGTCACCTCCAACTGAGAAGCTTCAAGATCCTACTCCTTTCTGTCACTCAGAATGCTATATAAACTTTCATTGTCTGACCTGGCCTTTCATGTTTGGCATGTTCATAGACAACTAAATATGGTTATTATTAGCCTATGGATCCTCCTGAGGTTAATTTAATTCATAAGCTAGCCAAAGAGGCTAAAAGAATGGATGGAAGCCATTTATTGCTTGTCACAGTTTATAGTTGGTGTATGAGGGGGCTGTTTTGTGGCCTGAGCTTCATCCCTGTGGGGTGTGATATTAACTCCAGGGAGACTATAGCATAATTGCACTGACCTTTGGCCTCCAGGCATAGGCCTGCTGAGTTGGGTGATTGCTTCTGTGTGAAAACGCCCTTCATATCTGATGGCTAGAAGTGCTAGGATGTAATAAGAAGGGGGAAAAAACGTGGGTTTTCTTTAGAGTAGTTTATCACAACACTTGTTTAAAACATTGCTTTAAGAAACACAGCAGAAAAAAAATACAGGCCTATGATTTTCTGATTTGTATGTAACACTTGCTTTTGTTGTCAGTTCTTAAATCTTGGAAAAAGCCGTTGCACTTCATGCCCTTCAAGGGACTTAACCAGGAGAGACATTTGATCCAAGGGCGAGACAACCCCTATAAGTCATGTTTTGTAAGAGTCTTTTTTCCCCTTTGCCAGGCTCACAAAGTCTGCAGTGTCTCCTACCTCTATTATCAGGCCATTGTGGCTGCTCTGTGAGTGGCCATTTACCGGGGGTGCATGTCATTGTCAACAACCTCTGGAGTTACCTTGGCAGCAGAGCAGCAAATACTTGCTGCTTAAGAATGTTATAGGGCCTTTGTGAAAGAGCTTCACCAGGGTGATTTAACTTTACAAAGAAATAGGTGTAGAGTGAACTCCATGGAGACCCATTCTTTGGTAATATTTGCATTTTATAGGAAGCATACATATAAATTTCCCGTCTTGTAGAAAATGGTTTTAATCTTCATGAATGCCATTTTGGCGGTTCTCTTCAGAGAGTGGAATTAATATCCACACGTGAGCTGGAATTGTGAAAGTGTTATTAATCTCCTGAGGTTTTGCTTCTGGCAATGCTGTTTCAGAAATTTCATCACAGTTTAGGTGTAGAAAAATATCACCATTTCTGCTTATTGGAATGCAACTTGCCAAGGTTTCAGTGTATTTCAAGCTAAGGGTTGATTTTTCAAACAGAAAATAAAAACGTTTTTCTAGGCCCCTGTTTGTAACTTGGTATTAAAGAAAATCAATTGAAATGCCAGCAAAGATGTACCACAGATGCAGTTAGAAAGCTATTTTCATGACAGATTTCCTAATTAAGCTGCCTAAGATATTAATATTCTGTGCAATTTGAAAAAAAATTTCTTTTATTGATTACTTCGCATCCTGAGTGTACCTTCCAAGAGTTAGAAAGAAGGCACACCTAGTTTCTGCCAATTTTCCCTTCCTATTTTAAGGAATTCAAATATTATCGGTGTGTAGAGTAAACAGCTCAAGTTCTCTGCCTTGGAGTGCTTGGATTGAGGCCCTGCTGCTCTGCTTCTAATTCAGCTTCTTGCTGACACAGTGAAGCAGGGGAGGGAGGCCAGTCAAGAACTGGAGACCTGATGGAATTCCGAGCAGCTGCCTTTGGCATGGTCTCGCCCTGGCTGCCGCTGCTATTTAGGGAGTGAACCACTAGATGAAGGTCTCTCTCTGCTTCTGTCTTTTCAACAAAATTAAAAGAAAATTAAAAACTACTAAATACAAAAAGAATGTAAAGATGAAAATTTGGTTTTGTCATTTTGTGTGTGTGGTTAGCATGGCTGGAGAATGCTGTCTAATTTCTTGTCTTTGCTGTCCTTTTCTTTCAAATACAGACCATCTCATTCTCAACTAACTGTCTGAAGCATTTTGCCCTATAGAGATGCTGGGTTACTAGATACAAATTAGGGTAATATGTCAAGTTTTCTAATAATTGTTATAAGGAGTGCAAAACCTTTAACGTTTTTGTAAGGGTTGCTCCACCTACATGTACATCTGCCTGGAGTGTATAGAAATATTTTGCTAGAATCTGGGTTTTTGTTTTGCATCCCAAATGCTATTGTGATGTTCATTCAAAGTATTAAAACAAAGAGTATTTATTGAGAACCTTGCCTCACCCGGCTGTTTTCATTTTTACGTCTCTCAAGCACTGGGCAATGCAAATGCTGCTGTTCCATTGCAGACAGTAAGGTGACTAGAATTCTGGACGTTCAGAGGGCAAGGCTGGGAATTGTTGCATCTTGGCTGGCTCCCATGCTACCGTCCTACTGCTGCCACAAAGCAGCGATAGGATCCGAGCTGAACCTGCATGTAACGTGGATTCCTAAGTGCTGTGGATACACATTAAAGTTTAAGACTGGAAGAAGTATGACTATTAAAAATAGTTTCAGGCAATTGAATATAAGGCAATGAAAAAATTTCCATTGGATATGCCTTTTGGTTTTTGGGTCTTTGATTCTTTCTTGATTGCAAGTTACATTAGATTCTGTCATCTTTTGTGTGTTTTACTTCCATACCTAACTTTGAACTTGCTAACAAGGGGCCTAAGTTGGGGTGATTTCTGAGACCTTTGCTTATCTGTTCGGTGGCATTAGTTAAAATGACCTTGTGGTTATAGAACAAGAAAAGTTGATTCTGTTGGAACTGCTCAATATCTCTGTGCAGCCAAGTAATTTTGTCACGATTTCTTTCAGACTTATCTTTGCTTATTATAATTCTTTAAAAATATTCTCTTTTTGTATACCTTCAAAACATTAGAAACAAGTTCCAGGAATAACATCTAACTAAAACAGAAAAATTATAGAAACATTTTTTTAAAAAGATGAAAAATGCTTATGTCATGCACATGAAATGAATTAGTTGATGCTGTTGAAAACTGAATTTGATTTTTATCTTTTGTGCAGTGAAGTCAAACAGGGAAGTGTAGGAGGCTTCCAGGTTCTTAAAGTAGGATGAGCAGAATCACTCAAGTTCATCTGGAGCGAAATGTGTTTTGCTGCTTCTCTGCACTGTGAGGAATTCATTGGGTATTTCTGTCTGAAAGCTTGTAATTAAACAATACAGATAAAGTCATACTTTTGCAAAGAAAAAGAAAATCATTTAAAAATACGTGTTGTGTCTGTTGTTAATAAATGCAATGGTTATCCCTTATTCATTACCTATTGTGACATGATTGGGGAGTGGCTTTAATATTACGGGGCTCATTATTCCCTGGAGATGAGAGCTGAATACAGAGATGGGAGCATCCGGGAGGAGGTGTGTCATTGAATGTGTCCCTTAGACTGAGCTTCATTTCACCACGAGTTGCAGTGGGCTTCTTGATGGGTGCTGGAAGACAGAATTTTCAGAGATGTGTGTAAGGTAGGAAATGAGCTGTTGTTGGTTTTAGGAGGCTGGGAAGACAGGGGCTGTGGGTAGGAATGAGAAAGGTTTTCTCCAGGGAGCTCTTGCTGTTGCAGACCTCTGTTGGTTAGATAATGGGAGAGACCACTTTTTGGGAAGCACATACTTTGATCGACCTTAGGAAACAGGAAGCAAGTCTCAAGCAGCTTTCCTAGAGTTGTTGAGGATGATTACTTGAGATTGTGGCTACAAATACACACACACACACACATGCACATGCTTGCAAACATTTCAGCTAAAAACAAGCTTTTAAAATGAAAAATACAAGGGACTATGTTTATTTCAATATTTATTTGAAAGGACACAGGAAGAGGAAGGGAGGAAGGCAGAGATAGTGTGGTAGAAAGCGAGAGGGAGAGGGGGAGGAAGGAAGAGAGCAAGAGAAAAAGAGAGAGAGAGAGAGAACTTCCATTTGCTGGATTACTCCCAGGTATCTAGAACAGCCAGGGCTGGATTGGACTGAAACCATGGGCCAGGAACTCAGCCTGTGTTTCCTGTATGGAGGGAAGATACCCACACCCCTGAACCATCACCATCCTCCTTCCAGGTGCAGCAGGGAGCAAAGGTGCGGCTCCAGCCCAGGCGCCTCAGTGTGACACAGCCATCCTGAGCAGCAGCTTCACTCACGGCACCACAAGGCCCAGCCAACAGTGTTTATGGTCATTCAATATTGTACCATTTCAAGGCGTGGGCTTGTTCCATTTTCTTTACTAAACAGAATAATTTCTGAATAAAGCATGATCTCAACAATCAGTTGTCAGACTGACAAGAAGGTAGAACATTCAACTCCTGTTTAGTAGAAATAATATTCTCTGCATATTTACTAACACCTCCAAGAATTTGAACATTGTACTGCAGAATCACTTGAAAGTGTTTGATGAAAGTGCAGAAATTAATTCTCGTGAATATGGAAATCTCCATTTAAAATTCAACTCCCATATAATTCAGGTGCAAGTATCTTTGGTGGACACTTTGCAAATTAGTAGATATGAACTGTCATCTTCTACTAGTGGATTGGCTGGCCATTGGGGCTGCATGGAGATCAGTAAAAGTGCAATGACGAAGGTCTCTGTGAAGACTGATTTTAGCAAGCACTTTGCAATTTTACCTAAAGGGAGTAATCCATGTTGGTCTCTAGGCATGAAGCGTAATGATCTGTTTTATTATCGTTAATTTATGCTCAAACTTCCCTTTGCTCTTCTTTTTAACCCACATAGCAATTATGCAGGCTAACTCTTGCCTCAGGGAGATGCTGCGGTAGGACTAATTAAATATTAATATTTAAAGGACTTAGACAACCTTGTAAGTAATATGTTAAGAGGAGATAAAATCATGATGACCCCTTTAGTGGCAGGAATGTTAATGAAGCACTGGGATCGCGCTTCCGTTTAATGCCCATGTCCTGCCTCTAATGAGGGGCAGGCAGCATAATGTTGGAATGAAGGACAAGGGTAACCTATGGCTGTTCTTCTACCTCCTGGTATGGAGGCCTAGAGCCAAGTTTCTAGTATTTGTAAGTTGATCTAATTTTTCTTTCCTAGACCAGAGGGATAAAATCCCACCTCTGCTTTTGGATTGTCAGGATGGCATGTGTGCCCATAAAGGATGGCATTGTGTGCCCATAAAGGACTGTGATTTTTGTTAATATGAATGAATTTCATGGGCCATGAATTTTTCTGAGTTTGAGACTTGTAGATTTTTCCTTTTATCCTAGACCTGTGTCTAGGTGAGTAGAGATGGATATGCTCTGTTAGAACTAATCTTAAATTTAGAAAGAAGAAGGAGAAATGGAAGGAAGACAAGGAGAATGTAATGGTTAATTTCAGATGTCAGCTTGAGTGGAGACAGGAACGGCAGGATATCTGGGAAAACATCATGCCTGTGTTTGTCTGGGGGATGTTTCGAGGTTGGCCTGTTAGTCTGAGTGGGCTCAGAGGGCAGCCTCCATTCTCCATGTGGGCAGCACCGTTCAGTTGAACAAAGTAGCAGAAGGTAAATTGTTGCTCCTGTAGCTGGATCTCGCTTGTCTTCTGCCCTTAGCTACCAGAAACTCCAGACTCTGGTCTTTTCAGGGCTTACTAGTCCCTTTCCTACCCTCCAAGTTCTCGGTCCTTTGGACTTGGACTGAACCATACCATTGCCATCTTAGACTCTCTCACTTGCAAAGTACTGTGGGATTTTTAGCAACCATGATCCCTTTTACGCCCTCCCTCCCTTGCTTCCTTTCTTCCCTCTTCTCTGTTTTTCCCTTCCTTCCAGTGTATCTCTTCAGAGAATGCCGATTAATACAGAGTAGGACAAAACACCTTTCAACTCAGTCCCAGACTGCAGTTGGAGCAGGGAAAGCAGTCTGTTGGCAGAAGATGAGGGCTCACTGTGTCTGTGCCTTATCACTGTCAAAACGACATGCCCCTCCAGTGTGGAAGAACCACAGGAATGTTTAGGAAGCCCTGGCTTAGAGATGACGTAGGAACTGCGTTTGTTTCCTAAATTAGAGGACGATGAATTTGAATTAGAAATTTTTCTCATTTCTTAAAATTGTGTTTTATTTTCCCCAAATTCATAAAGAAAAAGGAACTGGACTAAATGAAATTTGCAATTCTTTTTTGCAAGTGAAATAAAAATTCAATGGAAAACCACTTTAAATACATCAACAGTAACATCTGAGATGTTTCTGAAAATTCATCCACTTATTGACCAAATGCTTTTTGGCGATTACTCATTAACAACTAGAGATATTTAATGAACTGTTTTTCTAGTGGAGTGTCTGTGAAATTTGGTGGTATTTTTTGTATTTTGATACAGACTTAGAGCCCAGCGATGTTGTGCCAAGTCCGCTAGCCTTCTAATTAGCTGTATCGAATAAATAACAGAAGCGATACGCCCGTGCTGCACAGCCACTATATGATTGCTCTTGTGTGTTAGACTGCTCATTAATCTTGTAAGTATACATTCTTTTTGTCCCTGCAGTGCTACATCATTAAGTGCTATTGATTGATTCTTAAACATTCAGTAGGTATATATTGTTAGATATGGCGGGGTGACTGAAAACAGCTTGAGTTTCTCTTTTATCTAGGACAGATATAGTCAACTCTCACTATATATGGGATTATTTTTTTTTGCTAATTATCCTACTAAGTGTAACCCCCAAATCAGTTCTTGAGTCATTGGCTATTTGTATGTTCCTGCTGAGATCTAATCTAGTAAGGTGATCTTCTACCTTCTTGAATCAGCTCTGATTCTGCACAAACATGCCTTTACGTGACTTGTTTAGTGTTTCTGTGGCTTTTACCTTTTCATGTTTTTGTTGCTGATCATGAAAGACCCCCAAGCCTAGAATAGAAGTGTTGCTGGATGTTTCTAAGTTGAAGCAGGCTGTAGTGTGCCTCAAGGAGCAGTTCAGGTATTCAACTTCATCCAGGCATGTGAGCCAGGAACTCTATGCTAATAAATCAGCAGCGTCTGTTCCTAAAGATGGCTTTAAATGGAAGCACAACAAAAGCCGTTACATATGGATCAGTTGGTACAAATATTGTGACATGAGACATACAGGGATCCAGTCCTCTGTTTGCCTGAGTGGCAGTGGTTTGGGACTGGGTGATTCAATGTTCACAGTGACACCACCAATGTGACTACTGGGATAATGAGCATTGTTTTTGTATTTTGGGGAGCTGTAATAAATAGTTGTTTCCCTGATTTCTGCTTTTAGTGTAGACTGAGACACATGCTTCTCTATGACCCGTAAGGAAGCAGCAAGTAAATAAATGGGGTAAAAAATAAAAGTAACAGGTATATGGAGCTAAACCATATTTTTTTTACCTTAATTATCAACTTAAAAAATGCTGTACAATGAACCTAGATGATTTTGAGTCTGGAAAAATATTTGTGATGTGACTGAGTCTTGTCTGTGCATGAGGACTTCTTTTTTCTTAGCTTCTAATTTGTGACAGTGCTCAAGGTACTTGAAAAATAAGCTTCATTGGATGATGCATACAGTGACACTGAGTGAAAAAGATTTGGTAATAAAAATGAAGTTTTGATATGTATAGAGGCACTGGCCAACTGGAGACCGGACGTCATGAGACAGAACTCCTGATGACTTTCAGGCTAGCTGGAGAGCCACCTCCACGTAGGAAGCTGAGCAATCATGGCCTCTGTATTTGCCAGCTCTGCCTTGTGCGATCTGGGTCTAGTAGTCATCCTGTCCTCCTTTTTGAGTCTAATCTTCCCCATGATCTTGATGATCACTATGATTTTAATAATAACCGATAAAGCCATTTGTGTCTATCCATGTACTCAGGACATGCAGAGTCAATGGGAAAGAGAGATGTGGGACACTGAGAAGGCTGTGAAGACATGTGATGTCTTCAAGCTGGGAACCCAGGAAAGCTATTGGCTGTGTCAACCAGAAAGCCCGAGAGTCATGCCAACGGATGGTACAAGGCTCATGTGGTTCATGCCAAAGGCCAAAACCCAGGAGTGCCAGTGTCTGAGGGCTGGAGAAGGTGGATTCCCCATTCAGGCCTCTTGTTTAGGAAGACCCTCAACAGACTGGATGATGGACACCCACATTTACCACATTTTTGCAAATTTATGGGACTGGAGACTATATTGGTGTGTATGTATGAACTGGAGGGCCTGTATTAAAGACAAAGGAGAAATATGATTTAATTTGAATTTTAGTTGAATTATTTCTAGGAATTAAATTTATTGTATGAGTAACTTGGAGTGGTCTAATTTGCCTGCTAGTTTGTTGATAAAAACAACTATTCACTCCAACGTTGTGCCAAATTTTACAACTTATGAAGATGGAGAAAATGCTCTTAAAGTCAGAGGCAGGAGAAATCATAGCTTACAAAAACCATTCTGGTGCCATTCTTGCTGGATATTCTTCAGATAGAATTAAACTGCTTCTCGAGGAGGCAAGCCTATCAAAATTCCGAGGTACTGAAGGTCTTAGAACTCAATGTTGTTAATGCCTTGTCTCCCCCCATCTGTTTCCCTTAAACCTATTATTCCTGTGTTTGTGATGGAAGGATCAGCAGTACAGCTAAAGACAAACTGATTTCATAAGACCTGCCACAGGAAACTTCATTCTTCATGAACATTAACTTAATAAGGAAGGGGGTAAGATATTTTAATTGCTTTGATGAATCCAGGAACTGTTATCTGGACATTTGAAGTAAATTTTAAAAAGTTATTGTAGCATATTATTGTGGAACTTTGAACAGATAATGCCTGGCCAACATTATGCTATTTCCTACCCTTAACATGCGTAACTTTTAATCTATGCCTTTTAACGTCTGAAAGACCAAGCTAAAAAACAGAGTAACCATGAGGGACTCCACATCATAATGATGTGGAGTGTCCTATTATTGTCAGCCTCAAACACTTATATTATTTTAGTGCCAAAAATAGGAAGAAATTTCTATCTAAATATATTTAACTATTAGGAATTGTAATGCAATGAACTCAGTTCACCTCAGCCTCCAGTGTTGGTTTCTACGCTCAGATTGACTGGAGAATTTAGCTTCTCTTTTAATCATGGTGCTGACAGCGTTCAGCATCGAGTCCATGGATGCCTTCCTCATAGTGCCTATGCCAGTGCTTCATGCAGGTGCAAAGCTGAGTGGTCTTAGAAGAGATTTAATTAGGTGCTGATCATGGATTGTGGCTGCCAAACTGTTCACTTTGAGTTGGGCTGCTGTAAGCTTTGTTTACAAATCTCTGAGATTGCTTCCGCCATTGAGGCTGACACTGGAGCAGAGAACGTCTTTATGCATCCGCAGAGAACCTGAGCGGAGTACCTACTGCTTCCCCTCATTCTGTCCACAGGGTTCACACTGAGGCTTTCTAGGACTGTTTAAGGTCAGTTTCATTTTTCCCCAAAATGGGCCATGGAGCTTAATTTTTGGGACCTGTAAACCTTAAAATCCCAGAAAGCAAAAATAATCTTTTTCAACTCATCATTGAATAGACTTGGTCAGGAACCTACAGAGACGTTTTAAACTAGACAAAATAATGTCTCAGCTACAGCCCTGAGTGATCACAAAGCAATTTTAAGTTGTTGGCTCAATGGAGCCAGCTCAGCTTGGAAAGCAGATCTACTCCAACCCCAGGTCAATGTCTTTCCTGCTTGGAGCTCAAAGGTCTTTCCAAAGCTTCTTCCCCATCAGCGTACTGAGCCCCCAGGCCTCCTCTTCACAGACTTGCATTCAGTAGGTGTGGACTTGGACACTAAGGGAAAAGGCTAAACAGAAATCTACTGAAAGAATGAAACGTCGCACAAAAATCAGAAACCAGAAGTAACAAATGTTAGAAAACTCTATTCATAATAGAACTTCCTCTGTTTCCTCTAATTTTATTTTATTTAAAAACTTTGATTTTAAAAGTTATTTGAATGGCAGAGGAATAGAGAGACAGAGACAGGTCATGTGTCCCTAATATCTACAACAGTTGCTATTGGGACAAGTCGAAGCCAAGAGCTTGGAACTCCAGGTCTCCCACATGGGTGCTGGGAATTCATATATTTAACTGCCATTGCTGTTTCCCGGGGTATGTGTTAGCAGGACCTTTGTGACAAAAGCGGGTTGGAATTTAAACCCAGGACCCAGACATGGATGGGAGGCTTTTATTGGAGATCTTTACTGCAGCATTAAAAGCCCTCCTCGTTCCCTCTTTGGGAATAGGCAATCTGAGCAGGTGACATCTTTGTCCTCAAGAGCTCCTCTCTTTGCCATCTGTGCTTTTCTCACCTGTTCTTTCTGTCTTCAAGGTGCACACACATGCTTGTGCCCTAGTTGACTGTAAGAGTGCTGAAATGGATACCGGCCTAAGGAAGAAGAGCTTAGGATGAACTGTGTGAGGTTCTTGGATCTCTGATCATTATTGAACCCAACACTCATTCACTTGGTGCACGTTTCTTCCATAGGCAACCTGTTAAGCATACAAGACAATGGGGAGCAATAAAGCATGGTGATGAAATGAAGAAAAACCTGTGTCTGTCACTCAGATCGAGAGAACAAAACACAAATCAAAACGTATTTTAGAGCATCATCAATGCAGTTGGCATGAGTAGAAGTGACATTTTCCGTTCGTGTTGCTAGAATACTGGTGTGTCAGAATGAGTGTGTCAGAACAGGCTCTTTTGTTCTGTTTACTCATTCATTATGGTAGAAGCATTTATTGGCTGTTGACTGTTCTGCCCAGATTCTGCAAGGAACATAAAAAAAAATGTGATCATTTCCCTTTGCCCGAGACAGTCAAATTGGAGAGCATAAGACTGAAATTCATGGAACAGTTTGAGAAATATCCCGAGGCCAGTACTTGGTGGGGATGAGCAGGATGGGTCCTAGGTTTGGTTGGGCATGGAGTATCAGCGCCCAAGAAGACTTAGAGGGCAAAGAGGAGATTGTTTAAGCAGGATATCTGGGTCAGGCCCTGTAGTTGGTATTTAACACATACTTAGGTTTGGATTAGAGAAGATAGTGCATGTTGGTTTTGATTGGTACAATGATGCTGTTAATCTTTAGCTTCTTTAGGGATGTCCACTGAATGCCTGGTTCTTCCCCCTTGCTGGTCTTGAGAGCCTGCCTTACTGAATTCTTCTAGATTAAATGGTTGATGTACTTGGCCTTGTCATCACCTTTTTATTTTTTTTACTGGGGTGCAATGGATAAGACAAAGAAGTTAGTTGTGTTTATCCAGATGTATACTGAAGTTGCCAGAATGCAGAAAGTAGTATGAAAACATAGTCAATAAACCACTATAATTTTCTTGGCATACCCAATATTCACGATTCCCATCAATGACAGATTGTTGTTTTTTTTTTCTAGCTGGTAATGCACGAGAGAAATGATCTGGCCTAGTCATTTAACTGTTGGATAAAGAACCAACTCATAGAACATAATAAAATAATGTAATAAATCAAGGAGATTTTTA